TACATAAATTTTTCTCAATATGACATTATAGTTCTATATTTTTAATATATGCAACAATTGCATTTTTATTTCTCTCAATGGACTTTACACACACACACACACACACACACACACACACACACACATCCTGTCATTAGCACATGGGATGCTATTAATATTCACACACAAATGGAAGAATCGATGGTGATAAACTAATCAAGAGTGGCAGCGCAAGGGCTTCCAGCTGAGGGCAAAAACATCAGCAAAACCAAAACATGTTCTCGGAAAATAATAAATAATGAAAGCCTTTTATTTTGATCCACTGGGAACTAAAATAAATAAAAAAGCAAACGGTGCTTTTGACAGACCTATTTAGTTCACTCACATTGGATGAAGACTCATGTTCCTCTTCATGGTGGACCAGTGTTTTTTAGTATCATTGATATTATTATTTTTGTTAATACTTTGAATTTGATTTTTTTTTTTTTGTAGATTTTCTGTTTTCATTTTAATTTTAGTTTAAATTTTAGTAATTTTGTTGTCCACTTTTGGCATTTTTATTAGTTTGTTTTTTCAGTTTTTATTAAATTGTAATTTTGTTTTTGTTTGTTTAGTTTTAGTTATTTTAGTACTTCAAACTTAAACTAAACTAGCAACTAGCTGAAATAATAATATATTATAATATATTTTCCATTGTCATTTTATTTATATTTTACGTTTTCATTTTAGTTTTTTGTGAATGAATTTTTTTTATTTTAGTTTTTTCAGTTTTAGTTATTATTAATTATTTTTGTACTCCAACTATAAATGAAAATTAGAAATGTTGCTTTTGAAACTAACTGAATGAAATAATTTTTATGTTTATTTTACATAAACAAAAATGTTTTTTTTTTTTTAAATACTTACCGAAAATAATCCTACCAATTTCAAAATACACCACATTTTAAATGGCTGTCAATTGAGAAAGATGCTTTTTGTTATCTAAATGGTATAGTTACAACATCTACCATCTAACTACTAGAACAAACTAGTCACATCTTGACCACATGGTCATATGGCTGGTTAACTTTGAATTTTTTTAAGTAATTAAGCTAGTTGGTTGCTGACGGTGATGTTCTCGAAAGCAAGAAAGAGGCTCTGAATATGAGATAACTAGTTGGGCTTGACAAATCTGCTAATGGATCTAGACCTGCAGACTCAGATGACCTTCCTTCTGTGGGACAAGAGAAGTGACATAAACCAATGAGACACATGGATGAATTCAGGTGGGATTAGGTTTTAATCCAGATCCTCTTTAACAACAACATTACGTCCAGCCGACTGAAACCGAGCAAGAGAAGACAACAAGAACTGTGTGATGACTTGCATATACAGCAACAACCTGAAGAAAAGAAAATCACAAATGAGATCTCATTAATATATTGGCTGTTTCTTCAAGACAGTGTTGAGATTAATTAGGAGGAAACAGAATCTCCTGCTCCTTCTTCTGAGAAAAATCCTGAAGAAGAGTTTCAGAAGAGATATAAAAATGTCTTAAACTACATAAATTTTTCTCAATATGACATTATAGTTCTATATTTTTAATATATGCAACAATTGCATTTTTATTTCTCTCAATGGACTTTTAGGAGAAACATCTGAGACAAAGTTGACATATAAATAAAACAGAGCAATCAAATTGTCTTCTGGAGAGACAGTGACTATGGCAAGCCATTTTATCTATAAAACATACTAGTATATAGTTTAATGCTACTAATACTTATTTTTAGATACTAGTATCTATTCCATTAAGTACTAGTAGTTATTCATTAGATACTAGTACCTCTTAAATAGATACTAGTGCTTAATGTTAGATACTATTACCCATTTCTTAGATACTAGTACCTATCAAATAGATACTAGTAGTTAATATTATATACTGGTACTTACTCACTGGTTACTAGTAACTATTCAGTTTATTACTAGTAACACGTTTTGTTTTCACTAGTATGTATTCCAATAGTTACTAGTATATATATATTATATACTAGTAGTTACTCATTAGGCATTAGTACCTATTATTAGATACGTGTACCTTTTCAATATATAGTAGAATTTGTTTATTACATACTAGCATTTTTATATCTATTTGATACTAGTACTTATTCAATAGATACTAGTGCACAAACTGTATTAGACACAAGTACTTATTCCAAATGTTCAAGTAAGATTTTTTATTTAACTAGTAATATTTTTAATTGAACTCTACAGTGGTCATTCTGACTAGTCATAACATAAGACAAGTTAAAAAAGCAGTTGCATATAGTAAGATATTATAGTATAATAAGATTTGATACTAGTAACAATTACAAAGGATACTAATGTCAAATAAGTACAAGTGCCTAATGAATACATATTAGTATCAATTAAATATGTACTAGTATCTAATGAAAAGTAATAGTATTTAATATATATATATTCTAGTATCTAATGAATATTAATAGTAATATTTAAAAATATGCTAGTTACTATTGGAATACATACTAGTCAGAACTGAAATATCTGAATGACAGATCCCCATCGAAGTCAATGGCAAAATTTGAAATGTGTTACTAGTAACAATAGAATAGTAACTAGTCACTATTGAAATAATACTAGCATCTAATAAATAAGAAATAGTATCTAATGAATAAGTACTAGCATCTTTAAAAAGTTACTAGTATCTAAAGAATAAGCACTAGTAACTAGTAGAAGCACTTTCACTTAATGGAATAGATACTAGTAGCTAAAAATGCAGCATTAACTAGATTCATTATGTTTTAAAGATTAAATGTTAAAACGGCTTGCCATACAGTGACAGCATAACTAGATAATGAAGTAGAGCAGCTCGTAGGTAAAGTTTAGCAAATACAGACAGCATAAATGTTTAGCTAATATACTGAACATATTGTTCTATGTTGGACAGATGCTTTCTGTTGCGCGTGCACACACACACACACACACATACACACACACACACACGCCTGTCTGGAAGCAGGGGGTTGTCAAACACGCCTGAACCCCAGCAGCCTAATCTGATCAGAGAGAAGCATTTCACTAATTACATTACAAAGGTTTAGAGAGCTAGGTGAAGGGGGGTGGACACACAACAAAATAGACCTACATTTCATTACCAAGATGGGGTGATTCTGAGGCTTTAACAAATGATTGCATTGATTATATGTACTTGGTTTATTGCTTTATTGTGTGATTTGCCGTGTGAACTGTCCAGCAGTGTCTCCAGTTTATACTGCAGAAATGTCACAGGTTTCTTCCTCTAACAATATGACTAAGGAAAATCATCACCACCACCAATCACTATTCCCACATATCGCTATGGCAACCCCTAATGTTATGTCCAATTCCATGTGTTACCACATGTGTGATTTCAAACCCTCTCACAAAGTGCTGTGATAACTATAATAAAGTGATAACTAATAAAGTGCTAAGACATTGTGAATCTGCATTTTAAATTCTGTATACTGTACAACTGTATAAGTGGTTTCTTTAGCACTGCTCTTCATTCGAAGCAGGATCCACAGTCATAAATGAACAAGAAACCTCACCGATCCGACACAACGCTCCACGTAACGCGCCTGCGGCTCAATAAAAATGGCCGGCATGTGAGCCGCGCATGTGCCATGTGCCACAGGTCATGTTGAGCTGCGAGAGCTTCCCTTCTTCACATCCGCCCACATTCATCAGCGCTCGCACAGACACGATTCACACTGAAATGACAGCCACCAAAATGACTAATGGCTTCGTGAACCATTCGTGAAAGTGCTGCAAATGAAATTACGCCTCAGTTTTTTTTTAAATGTCGTCATGAATGATGTTAGATCATGTGGGAAAGAAATCACAATTCAGATACACTAGAGATGTTTGATTAAATCTGTTGCTTCTCAGGTTTTTTGGAAAAATACTTTTTCCCGATACCAGTTTGTGATCAAAAAGTCAAATACAAAAATTTCTCATCAACTTCAAGATTAAATGATCTGAGCTACTGTACACTAATTTTTTTGGCTCTATATTCACACTGTATGAAAACTATTGGCTCATTTGTGTCTGTTTTTTAATAAGGAAATATCTTTTAATAAGGAAAATCATAAGTGAAATAAAACAGAACTCAGTTTAGTCTGCGCAATGAATTTTCTCTCAGTTAAATGCAACAGGGAACATTCTCAGAATGTCCTCTCAAAGTTATGAACAAACATATCAGTGACGTTAACAGAATGTTCACTCAAAGTTATGTGGTCTTTACAAAAAAAAAAGTAAAAGAAAAAGAAAAAAACAGCCAAATTGTTAAATCCTGTGTCTCAAACATGGCCATAGTATCAGCCAAGTACCTTGTAAAGTGAAAGAGTACGTGAAAGTAAAAAATATAAGTTACTTAAAATGGCTATAACATCAACCTGGTACGTTGTAAACCTGATTTTTCGAACGAATGAACAAACAAACAAATTAATACATAAAATAGTTAAATCTGAAGACTAAACATGGTCTAAAATAAAATAAAAAACATACGTTGTTAAATCTAGTGGCTCTAAAAACACCTATAGTATCTGCCTGTCAACCTGATTTTGTTTAAATAAATACATACATACATGCATACATACATATAAATGTTAATTCCAGTGGCTGGAAAAACACCCATAGTATCAGCTGGGTAGCATGTAAAGTAAGTTTGTTTAAAAAAGTAAAATAAAATAAAATATAATAAAATAGAAATGAATTAATTAATAGCAGAATCAGCTCAGTATCTAATAAAAAAATTAATTAAAATAATAATAATAATAATTATTATATATGTTAAAATCTGAACCCTCCTGAAAAGATGAGAAAAGAAAAAGACCAAAAAAAATCTTGATCCTTCAGTTAATTTTTCACACTGTAAATAAATGCATACAGGCCATCTGCATACTACGCACAGTATACTGTACAAGTAGCCTATAGACTAGATATATCTATGGGAGGCTGACATAAATGTCTGTGTTTGTCCACAGGCCGCCGAGGTGGAGAAACAGTTGTCTACTCAGGTTCATTCTTTACGGGATGATTTCAAAGAGAAAAGTCTCTCCACCAACCAGCACATGACGCGCCTTGAGACCCTACAAGCCGAGGTGAGGCATTATGGGATGTGGACTGTCTTATTTGCAGTAAGTCATGACACCATGATATATTTCAAAATCTGCTTTCCTCTGTTTCCTTCCTCAAATCATGATTTGTTTCCTGCACTAAACAGCAAGGGCTTGAAGTAAGTGCTCATGAACCGCTTCCTCTTTTCTGCATGTTCGTTTTGTGATGTGAAGATCTCATTGTGCGATGCAAAACGCTGCTGGATCATACCCTGATTGCTTTATGTCCCATCTGAGCTTCAAAGCAGCTAGAAAAAGTGAATGTGGGACTTTTCACTAACTCATCTATGAGAGACGGGTGTGTAATTGGCTCCTGGTGTCTTTGTTGTGACAGCACAGGACAAACAACGCCAGCGTGAGTTTCACAGGCCGTCATCAGTGGACACGCTCATATCACTGGTCTATTCACAACAACAAGATCAAAACAAAGCTTATGGTTATTCTATTGAGGTTATTCTGAAAAAGTGAGGACATTTTATTAAGGGAAAATTGTGGATCTGTAGATTGTAAATTGTGGAACTGTTCCAAAACATAGTGAACGGCCTACCAGTGTTATTTTAGTATTAAGATAGTTTGTGTATATGTGTGTGTGTATACAGTATACGGTGTGTGTGTATATATATATATATATATATATATATTTCATTTTTATGTTTGTATTTTCGATTATTATTTACATTTTAATGTTTTAGTAATTTTGATGTGTTTGTCATTTTTATTAGTTTATATATATACAGTGGGGAAAAAAAGTATTTAGTCAGCCACCAATTGTGCAAGTTCTCCCACTTAAAAAGATGAGAGAGGCCTGTAATTTTCATCATGCACAGTATATATTAGTTATTTTTTTATATGAAGTTAAACTAAATGAAAATGAGAAATGTTGCTTTGGAGATTTTCTGAAATAAAAAAAGTGTAAGTTTTTTTTTTTTAAATATTAGAATTTAATTTATTTCAGCTATTTTTTTTTATTTTATTTCAAGAAACAAAAATATTTTTATGGGTTTAGTTTTAGTTAACTATAATAACCCTGCTGCCTTTTACATCAGTTTTACAATTTGCATCCTTTATTGAAATGACAATCCCAGAATGCATTACGGCAAGCTCAGTGAAAAAATTCAAGCAAGATGGAAAGAAAAATATTAGCTGTATACTTGTCATACAGTACTGAAAAGTATTGATAAGAATACTTTAATCTGATTAAATATAAACAATTTTTACCTAATATGGGTATGTTGCTGTGATAAACTGCAAAATATATATATATATTTTCTTACTCAGTATTTTTGTTTTGTTGTCCATTACAAATATCTAAACATTCTTAATTCAATATACATTTACTTGACAAGCAAAAAAAATAAAATAAATAAGTGAGTTTTTGCTTAAAACAAGAAAAATGGGGTGGTAAAAAAAAAAAAATCAGTCATCGAGTATATGAGGTTCATTTCATTTCAGGATGCTCCCTTAGAAGGCTGCTGCCTATGTAGACAATATAGACAGCTCACTAAGTTTTGGAACAGAGCCCACATGTACATATTAACAACTGCTCAGTATTGAGCAACAGGAACTGGCCTGATGAGCAACATTACAAATGAGAGATTAGCCAATCATAACAAACATAATTTATATAGATAAGAGTTAAAGGTACAGTAGCAAAACAGATAAGTGTCTAAGAAAAAATGACCATGAAACACTAAAGTATTAACATTTCAGTAGATTATAGGAGAAAAAAATATTTATCAAAGGATATATATACAAACCCAATTCCAAAAAAGTTGGGACACTGTACAAATTGTGAGTAAAAAAGGAATGGAATAATTTACAAATCTCATAAACTTATATTTTATTCACAATAGAATATAGATAACATATCAAATGTTGAAAGTGAGACATTTTGAAATGTCATGCCAAATATTGGCTCATTTTGGATTTCATGAGAGCTACACATTCCAAAAAAGTTGGGACAGGTAGCAATAAGAGGCCGGAAAAGTTAAATGTACATATAAGGAACAGCTGGAAGACCAATTTGCAACTTATTAGGTCAATTGGCAACATAATTGGGTATAAAAAGAGCCTCTCAGAGTGGCAGTGTCTCTCAGAAGTCAAGATGGGCAGAGGATCACCAATTCCCCCAATGCTGCAGCGAAAAATAGTGGAGCAATATCAGAAAGGAGTTTCTCAGAGAAAAATAGCAAAGAGTTTGAAGTTATCATCATCTACAATACATCCACATCTACTGCATGACTAATAGATCTGGTTTTGTTCTGCATGTGTAAACTATGTAACTGTTACACCTCAACAACATTTTTGTTCTTGTAAAACACACAGACACAAAGGTGGGTTTTCCCTCTAGTACAGTGGAACTGTATAACGCCAATTCAGATCTTAACATGAGTTTTGCAAATACAGAATCCTCGGGTCCTGTCTTTCAGTCATAGCCAGATACTGCATGTTTGGAAAAAACCTTCTCTTAAAAGCAATCTTAACGTACATACACTGACTTCTCCCATCTGCTCGCTGACAGCTGATCCTGAAACATATGAGAGATGTCAAGCTCTGTAAATCAAATACTGAGAATTTAACCCCTTCAAATCACATATATCTCCAAAAGATGGAGCAGCTGATCAAACAGCTCTCATGCCCTGTGACTGAAGGAGAAATCCACCTGAAATGTACGACTGTTCTTGCTTGTTGCTAATCACATTACAGTCAACGCTTAACATAGCGGCTAGATGTATATGTAAAGGCGTTTTAATAGCGAGACTCCCATGTGGAGTGTGTGTACTAGAGCTGTAATTGAGCGGGGAAAACTTCTGTTCTATTTTAAGAGCAAATGCTGCAAAGTCTGGGTGTTCCCGAAACTGCAGTCAGAGCCAGACAGATGAGTTTTGCAAATACAGAATCCTCGGGTCCTGTCTTTCAGTCATAGCCAGATACTGCATGTTTGGAAAAAACCTTCTCTTAAAAGCAATCTTAACGTACATACACTGACTTCTCCCATCTGCTCGCTGACAGCTGATCCTGAAACATATGAGAGATGTCAAGCTCTGTAAATCAAATACTGAGAATTTAACCCCTTCAAATCACATATATCTCCAAAAGATGGAGCAGCTGATCAAACAGCTCTCATGCCCTGTGACTGAAGGAGAAATCCACCTGAAATGTACGACTGTTCTTGCTTGTTGCTAATCACATTACAGTCAACGCTTAACATAGCGGCTAGATGTATATGTAAAGGCGTTTTAATAGCGAGACTCCCATGTGGAGTGTGTGTACTAGAGCTGTAATTGAGCGGGGAAAACTTCTGTTCTATTTTAAGAGCAAATGCTGCAAAGTCTGGGTGTTCCCGAAACTGCAGTCAGAGCCAGACAGAGAGAAACAGGAGTCTATTCCAATCCATGCCGCTTCTGAGCCGACCGGGACATAAATATACCAGTGTCACTGTCTAGATCACCTGTTTTAAATTTTAAATTTCAAGAGAAGCAGATATATGCGTTTAAAGTTCAGTGGTTGAAGGCAGGTGCAGCATACGGTTAATCACAGAGAATCCCTCAGTGCTGGTGAACTAGGTTAGCAGATCTAGGTCAAAACAGGAGGGAGAGACGCTAAAACTTCTGCTCATGTTTGTTTCATGGGCTACACACACAAATCAGGACTCAAAACTGTGTGTGTGTAGCACATCTATTAAGGGAAACCTTTGAGATGATGCTGATACTTAAAGGAATAGTTCACAAAAAAAGGCTAAAGGTGTCCTCACCCTCAGGCCATCTAAGATGTAGATGAGGTTCTTTCTTCATAAGAACAGATTTGGAGAAATGTAGCATTGCATCACTTGCTCACCAATGGATCCTCTGCAGTGAATGGGTGCCATCAGAATGAGAGTCCAAACAGCTGATAAAAACATCACAATAATCCACAAGTAACCCACACCACTCCAGTCCATCAGTTAACATCTAGAGAAGCCAAAAGCTTTGTGTTTGCAAGAAACAAATCAATCATTAAGAACGTTTTTTAACTTCAAACCATTTCTTCCCTCTAAATACGAGTCCATAATCCATAATAACGCTTCCTCCAGTGAAAAAGTCCATCTCCTGTTGTCTCTCACATCAAAATCCACCCACATATATGTTTAGAGCTGATCAAACAGCTCTCATGCCCTGTGACTGAAGGAGAAATCCACCTGAAATGTACGACTGTTCTTGCTTGTTGCTAATCACATTACAGTCAACGCTTAACATAGCGGCTAGATGTATATGTAAAGGCGTTTTAATAGCGAGACTCCCATGTGGAGTGTGTGTACTAGAGCTGTAATTGAGCGGGGAAAACTTCTGTTCTATTTTAAGAGCAAATGCTGCAAAGTCTGGGTGTTCCCGAAACTGCAGTCAGAGCCAGACAGAGAGAAACAGGAGTCTATTCCAATCCATGCCGCTTCTGAGCCGACCGGGACATAAATATACCAGTGTCACTGTCTAGATCACCTGTTTTAAATTTTAAATTTCAAGAGAAGCAGATATATGCGTTTAAAGTTCAGTGGTTGAAGGCAGGTGCAGCATACGGTTAATCACAGAGAATCCCTCAGTGCTGGTGAACTAGGTTAGCAGATCTAGGTCAAAACAGGAGGGAGAGACGCTAAAACTTCTGCTCATGTTTGTTTCATGGGCTACACACACAAATCAGGACTCAAAACTGTGTGTGTGTAGCACATCTATTAAGGGAAACCTTTGAGATGATGCTGATACTTAAAGGAATAGTTCACAAAAAAAGGCTAAAGGTGTCCTCACCCTCAGGCCATCTAAGATGTAGATGAGGTTCTTTCTTCATAAGAACAGATTTGGAGAAATGTAGCATTGCATCACTTGCTCACCAATGGATCCTCTGCAGTGAATGGGTGCCATCAGAATGAGAGTCCAAACAGCTGATAAAAACATCACAATAATCCACAAGTAACCCACACCACTCCAGTCCATCAGTTAACATCTAGAGAAGCCAAAAGCTTTGTGTTTGCAAGAAACAAATCAATCATTAAGAACGTTTTTTAACTTCAAACCATTTCTTCCCTCTAAATACGAGTCCATAATCCATAATAACGCTTCCTCCAGTGAAAAAGTCCATCTCCTGTTGTCTCTCACATCAAAATCCACCCACATATATGTTTAGAGCTGTTTTGGCTTGTAAACGGTGCTTGATCTGTGCAGATATCTCTCCCGATTCAGACCAGACCAAAAAAAAGTCTCAATGATGGATTTGTTTCTTACAAACACGCAGCTTCTGGCTTCACGAGACGTTAACTGATGGACTGGAGTGCTGTGGATTACTTGTGGATTATTGTGATGTTTTGGATCCATTGGTGAGCAGGTGATGTAATGCTAAATTTTCTCCAAATCTGTTCCCATGAAGAAACAAACTCATCTACATCTTGGATGGCCTGAGGTAGATTTCAGCAATTTTTCATTTTTGAGCGAACTGTGACTTTTCAAATGCAGATGTGAATTCAAATCTAGACCGAATTTTGATGCTGGTCCAGGGTGATTATTGCTGGTTTTGCTGCTAGTCTTGCTGTCCACCAGCCAAATCTAAACTGAACATTGAAAATGGTTAAAAGAAGAACATTTTTATGAAACAACAGCTTATCATTTCTTAGTTTTAGCACTCTCATGCTGACACAAACTCACTTAAACCGTAGTGTTCCACTGAACAGTTATTGTGTTGTTTTTCTTAGTGGATCAGACCCGTATCGGCTGTACAACTTGGATGTTTTTCAGTATGAGCTACACAACCCAATGGCTCTTTATGGGGCAGTTCCTGTCCTCATACAGTAAACCTAAACTATGAAAGAGCAACCTCTGAGCAATAGCATTTTCTAGGAGTTGTTTTGAAATATTCCTGTTATCAAGAGCACATTCCTGACTATGGAGGTGTTAGTGACTCCCTACCGATGCCTGGCAGCACAGCATTCCTACAACTACAGGAGAGTTTAAACTAATCCACTAAACCACACTTGAGTTTTTCAGATACATTAGACTTATATACTGTATATGTAAGGTTTAGATATATTGTGATTCATTCGTTTGTAAAGTTTTACAGTTGTTTTGCTCTGAATAGGTCTAAACAGAGTCAGAGACTAAAGCTGTACAATGCTGATGTCCGTAACCTGGTGTTTTTCCCACTCTCGTTATGCAGATAAAGATGTTGTCAGAACGTAAGCAGGAACTGGAGCGACGCGTGAACGCCATGCTGGAGGAGAACCAGCAGCTGCAGCACACGGTGGAAGACCTGAGAGAGCGAACGCTGGTGCTGGAGAAACAGTGTCACGAGAAGGACTTGCAGGTGAGCGACCATCACACTGCAAAACAAACACACACATTATAATCACTATTTATGTTTTGGTTTCCAGTAAATAATTGAACACTGAGAAGCAAACAACATGAGAAGCAAAACTGTATATGTCTGGAAATTAATAAGCATTCATGTCATAAATCCCATAAAATATTTATGTTTCAAACACACAAAATAAATGTGTTAAGAAATATATTTTCTTTCTTACTATATATCTTACTTCTCAAAATGTACCCTGCTTTATGTTGTTTACATAGTTTTACTGCAAACCCATATGGCCAAAAAAATTAGTTTTTTAAATATAAAAGTAATGCCCAATATATATATATATATATATATATATATATATATATATATATATAATATAAAAAAAATTGGTTTAAAATGATGCTCACTAAAATGAGACTCCAGTCATAGACTGGAAAAAAAAGGTATAAAAACTAATTTCACTCAGAAATTGCTATTAAATTTCACAAATCATTACAAAGAAATGGCAAGTAACTCATTGAATTAAATGTGAATTATTGAAGTAGAGACTGAAATCATATTTCCTTATAATACGTGCTCCAATAATCTTTGTTTTAGTTACAAATTCGAAAAAAAAACATTGTACACCAGGGTTGGAAATGAACGGGGTCTTGTGGCAAAAGATGCCCCATAAATTCAACATAATGAGGCAAAAATGCCCCTGCACAATTAAACTAAACATAATCAAGGCTGTCGCGGTCAAAATGAAAAGTTGAAATGAAAAGCATCAATTCGTGTTATTACATCGTTTCATTAAAATGATGCGCACTTTGCATCAGATTTCTCTTTACGTGTTGTTATTTGCAGCGCTGCGATTTAAAAACCAATCACACAAGTTTCTGTTGAGCTTAGAATGGCCAATCAGAGGCTTGCAGGTTAGTCAGCGCTGAAAACATCAGAGTTTTGACGAGTGAACTGAAAATGTGACTGCAAATTTTCTCATCACAAACAACAAACTGCAGATACGATGTAAGTAAAAAGAGATTATAGGATTAGTTTACTTCAAGAATAATAATTTCCTGATAATTCACTCTCCCCCATGTCATCCAAGATGTTCATGTCTTTCTGTCTTCAGTCGTTAAGAAATTAAGGATTGTTCTCCATATAATGGACTTCAATGGGGGCCAACGTGGTGAAGGTTCAAATTGCAGTTTCAGTGCAGCTTCAAAGGGCTCTACACGATCCCAGCCGAGGAATAAGGGTCTGACCTTTCCAACGTGACTACGTAATGCATGAAGTCCAGCTAGTGCAAGACGAGCATCTGTGGTTAAAAATGATATACTTTTGTATTTTATTTTATTAAAGAAAATGAGCGATCATTTTGCTAGATATTATTCCTTGGCTGGGATCGTGTAGAGCCTTCTGAAGCTGCACTGAAACTGCAATTAGAACCTTCAACCCGTTGATCCCTATTGAAGACAATTATATGGAGAATTGTTTTCCTCAAAAACCTTAATTTCTTTGCGACTGAAGACAAAAAGGCATGAACGCCTTGGATGACATGGGGGTGAGTAAATGATCAGAAAATCTTTATTCTGAAAGTGAACTAATCCTTTAATTTGGCTTTACAGTCAATCTAATAGAGCATAACGGTGAGTGCTGAGCTCTGAGATGAATCACAACATTACAAACACTGATTTATTTCTATTATCAGACACTTGCGGTTGTGGAATAAATGAATCATAGGTGATAAAAATGCCTGAGAATAGAGTATTTATTTAGACAATGACATGAGTAACTGCACACGCTTCCTTTAGTGTGACGCTGCATCTACACGGACGAGTCGCGTTCGGCTCGTTTATTTCTCAGGGGTGGGTCAGGGCAGGGGTTGTGAGTGTTCTGAGTGTTTTCTGGCTCTTGTGTGTTCGCACCAGCTGCGCCAGAGTCAGCTGGAGCTGCAGGAAGTGCGTGTGTCTCACCGGCAGCTGAGCGCTCGTCTGGAGGAGCTGACGGAGGAGCGCAGTCTACAGGGCTTCAGTCCGAACCCACACAGCCTCCTCTGTGAGATCGAGCAGAGCATGGAGCAGGAGG